CCCCCCTTCTCCCAAAAGAACCAGCAAAGCCCCAACACCCATTGCACATCGCTCAACTCCCCTCTCGTCCGCGTACCTCTGAGTAAAGGAAAAGTGCAAAAAAAAAATGCTGATCAAGCTTAATAAATAGATCCACCTTGCTAAAATGTGCAGAATGGCGATGCACGTAGTATGGTGTAGGTTCTGGTTTGCCCATGTCCCCCCACACCACCACCACCACCACCACCACCACACACACACACAGCACCCCGGATGCGCGGCTGCGTGCAGTGCCGAGTGAGCAGTGTGTTTGAACAAGGGTTTTTTCTCTCTCTCTTTAGTATGGGCGTCAAGGTCAGGTTAGAGAATGTATGATATTATACTTCTCATGTAGAAATATATATATGTATCTTTTTTTTTTCTTTCTTAAATCCCATACCATGTTAATTGAAATAAGTACTAGTAGTGAGTTTTAATTTTAATTTTTTTTTTATTTCTTACGATTTGCCCAGGACTCTCAAAAAAAAAATGGTGACATTACACTTTCTCTCTCTCTTTCTTGTATCAAACACATACATACACACACACACTTTCTAGTTTATACCCGTACTACAAAATATGAAAGGCGCGGACAGCGGATAGCGGACAATGATGGGCGGGCGGGGCGGGCGGGCGTGTGCGCACGTCCATCCGCGCATCGCCGAAAAAGCTTGGTCACAGTCAGGTTTAGGAAAGAGGTAGAGACGATGGACCATTGAGAGACCTAAGCCACCTCGGCGCGATCGAGCGAGCGAGCGAGCGAGAGAGAGAGAGAGAGAGAGAGAGAGAGTCAGGGTTAAACAACGAATAAAACTCGTGACGTCGGTGTCTTGTTCTTAGTGTAATTTACTAGTTTACCCTTTAGCCTCATCTCTTGCCCTTTCTCCCATCTTTGCCTCCTCTTACGCTTCGGACAACCGTATGTTATCTGATTGTTGTTGTCTTCATACTACCATTTATCATACCACTACGAAACCTCTCTATCAAACCTCTCTCGCTCCATCTTCTCTAAGAAAGAGGGGACATAAAAAGAAAAACAAGGCATAGCATATTACTCAGCCTTATATCCGAAAATCAAACATATACCCCGGATTACTTACATATCTCACTCTCCGGCCCCCTCGCTCGTCCGCCGCTTCGATCCGTACTTTCTTTCCTTTTTCCTCATTGCCGCTTTCAACTGGGCTGAATCGACTGGGGCGAACGAGGGAAAAAAAAGCGTGAACAACAAAACTGACGTCGACAAAACTGGTCTTTGCGCGCCTTGTGGGTTCCCTTGCTCGGGTGGACGTAAGAGTGTGTCTGTGTGTCTCTGCTTTTCTTTTTTGCCCGATTATAAACTTTGTTGAACATACGCGACCGTTTTCTTCGCGCGGACTTGGGTTTCTCGATCTCTCTCTCTCTTGTCCTTGTTTTCTTTCCTCCCTCTCACGTCGTTTGTCGCACCGCATCGCATTGCAAAGCGTCGTCGTCTCGGCAAAGGAAAGCGTTGCGACGCTGGAGGCAAAAGCTGGACTTGAGAACTCAACAACACACTTCCATTTTGATAATGGCATCATCATCCAGCGAGCAGAGCCAAATGAGGTATGTTTGTTGTTTGCAATCCTCTGCCCTGGCGCAAATCTGACATGACATGTCCACAGGTTCTTAGCCATCGTCCTCCCGGTGCTCACCTTTTGCGCACATGGCCTCCTCGCCATGTCCTTTGCGCTGCCCGGCTCGGACCTCGACGGCGCATACTTTCCCATCACCTACAACCTGCTTGCTTGCGGCGCAAGCATTCTCGGCTTGGTTGGCGCACTACGGGTAAGTCAGCAGCTTGTTTTCCTTGCCCCGCGATTCGTGCGACGGACTCTCGGATCGTCCGGAACTACTGCGAGTCTTGGTTGTCATGACGCATGGGTGCTTACAATGCGATAACAACACAGGCACTACCAAGTCTGGTGTCAGCTTACACCCTGCTGCACACAATGACTCTGTCATTTCTCACAATCGCAATCGTCAATCTGGTGTTGCCCTGGGACTTCCGAACACTAAATCCGGTAACTCCGAGCTATACGGTCGACGAATCAGCCATATGCCGCGACATCGATGCCGGCTTTGGGTGGGACACCGAGTGGCTGGAACAGTGCACTAGCAGTCTTAGCACCGTCAAGTTTTGGTGTGCGGGCTTTAGTATGGTCTTGATTTTTGCGCAGTGGTGGGCTCTGATGAGTGTGCGGACGTGGGGGCAAGAGCAGCGAGCCCGGTCGCAGAGTACTCTAGGCGATGTGGAAAAGGCCGGCCTGGGGACTGACGAGAAGACAACAATTTATGACGAAAAGACTGGATTCTAAACGATATTAAATGAATTAAAGAGTACAAACGCAGATAGCGTGACATGATGTAGTTCGAGGGAGCTCTGTCGACATAAGTGACCTGGCTGATGTTACGCGAATCGGATTGGTAGATTGGTTTCTGAAATCACGTGAAAATCATCTAGAAAAGTCAACTTGTTTAAGGGGCTTCAACTTACACATGGTTAGTATAAAAGTGAAAAGCTTACCATCATCATCACCTAAATAAGTTTCCCAGACGCATAGCTGACCGGCGTCACCACCAGTCAGATCTGAAGCTTCTTTCCAGAAGAGGAACCTCTGACACTCCTTGCTGTTGTTCAGATAGCGAGTATAGGTCCGGACTGCCCAGAGCCCACAACTATCGCAGGTGCAGCCTGCACTTGGCCCAACCCATGATGTTTCCACAATGCATACACATCTCGTCCATGCAACTAGTCCATTCGTTCCTGCCACGGTGATCGGTGTGGATGACTCTGGCAAGTCTACTCACGTGCCAGGAGCAGACGTTGGATGGTAGTTGGACTACGTCATGGGGCGTAGTGATGAGCTTCATGGGAATACATGCTGGGCTGGTCGATGAGCTGAACATGGCGATCGGATAGCCGGTATTGCAGAGGCGACAGTGCTGTTGATCGGGCTTTGGTGGTGACGGGTTCAGGTAGCCGTGTATTGCACGTCGTGCACAGGGTGAAAGGACATTCTGCCAACGGCGTGGGTCTAGGCGGATCATACTGTTAAGCCGTGGTGCTGTGAGCTTGAGTGCCAGCAAAGCGTCCAGTGGCAGCAGATCGCAAATATCTAGAATGAGCTCCGTGGGCAGGTTATGGAAGGATGTGGCATCCGAAGACATGGTGATGCGCATATGCGGACGTGATGGAGGGTCTGAGCAGGTTTATTGTGTCTCTTTGACAAAGAAAAGGCATGGAAATCAGGAGGAGCATTTTGCTGAGCGAGATCAAAGAGGTCGTCCTCCGGGCCATTGCCTCTGTTCCATTCATGTGCGCCAGTGACGTCTGCGAGATTGTGAAAGGGAATCTGAAAGCAAACCGAGCTGTTGTGCCAAAGGCTGGCGTGGTAAGGCCTTGATTGTTCCATTGCTTTGCTTGATGTGGCCTTGATCCATTTGGCGCACGGGCGGTGAGGTTGCACGAGACAAGGCGTGACGGCTTGAGGGGGCTATGTATACGGGCGTTTGGTAAGAGAGGAAGGGAGTGTGACTGGTGTCATGGGTGACGGTTGAGACAAACGGGTTGTGGCAAGCGCGTGGGGCATGACGTTGGAGAGGGGCAGCGGCGACCCAAAAGCAAACATTTGGCCAAGACGACGATGATGTGGAAGGAGCGATGGCGGTGATGGGCGAGAGGGCAGTCACGACTGTGATAAAGTAGCAAAGGGAAGATAGACTTTGGAGAGGAGGAGAGGCGGGACAGGGGCAGAAGGAAGCATGCATGGTGAAGCACGGATTCCCGTGGCCCAAACGTGTGTTGCTAGATTCGAGAATACTTCTTAGTGGTGGTAGCGTAACGGCAGGGCAGGTAGGCGAGCTACAAAAGCTGGGGTAGGCGGCAGCGCATATCTAGCCGAACAAAGCAAAAATGCTTCGTATTGCGGCATTTGTGTGTAGTGGACATGGAGTGTTGTGTACTGTGGATGTGCCCAATACATATGAAGAGTAATAATCCGTGTGTGTACTATTCAAGCACACAGTGGAGCGCATCCACACAGCCAAATTGCCGGCACCATGTTCCGACAATGGTCGCTCATCGCATGCCCACGTCCTGTTCTCACATGCAGAAGTGGGCGTGCAGTGCATGGCGAAGCGCTCTAAGCGCGGACTGGAAGCCCTTTGCGGCAACAGGGCCGGCGGCAGCTGGGCAGCTGGGCAGCCGGGCAGCCATGTCGTGATGGGCCATGGCCATGGACCGATGGGTGGACGACGGGCGGGCGGCGGGCTCGATGGGTGGGAGTGCGGAGGAGTCAGCCACAAGTTGATATTTTCGCATTCGCCTGTCGTTGCCGGGTGCTTATTGGAGAGCCTGGCACGCTGCTCATCCCATGCCCCGCATCGTGCAGCCCAAGCCCGTTCGTTCGCAGTCGGCCACATAGATAGATGGCGATGGGGTCAGATGCATGGCCCGACACGGCACCCGCTCATCCTCGCCATGGCCCTCGTCGGGCTTCTGTCACACTCGGGGCACTCGGTGCTTGTCGACATTCCAGAGCGTCAGCAAAGCAGGCATGTGCTGGTGGGCGGGCGGGCAGCTCCGTCGTCTGATGATGGACCGAACAACGGTTCGCTAGGCGGGCTGCCAGCCTAAGCCAGTATGGATGGATGTAGTAGTAGTAGTAGTAGTGGTGGTGGTGGTGGTAGTAACCAAGTAGGTACTAAGCATGTACATGTACCTCCGGCCCATCCATCCATACACACACTGTACATACTCCACTACATATGTATGCATGTCCCGCAGCAGCCCGCCATGGACGTCATGCACTCATGCGTCCGCCCACGCCGTCGCTGGACGAGAGAGAGCCCCGACAGGCTGCATCGAGGCCGCCGCTGGGCCAAGTGCAAGTGCAAAGGCGGCATGGGATGGCATGCCTCGACGACGGCCTGCTAACTGACTGCAGGTGCTGAGGCCCGTGTCTCGAGGCCGAGATGAATAAAGTGGATAGCTCTTCGCTCGGCCTGCTTAGCGCGAGTAGTCGAGCGTCCCCAGCATCCCCTTTCGACATAATCCTCACCCAGGCCCGCGATATCTCCCGAGTCCCTCCTGACCCCTACTCACCCGCTCCCAGCTGTCCTTCACTCGCTGACTTCACCTTGCCCTCAGCTTAGTGGACAGCTGTCGCTCCTTTTGTCGCCTTCACCGTGAGTATGAGAGCCCACGACCCCTAGTCTCCCCACTAGGGCCTCCCCCTCAGTCTCCAAAACATGTGCCCTCTCCACCAAAATTTTCCGTTGCCCGCCTCGACTTGACTTCCCGCCCCCCCCCCTCGTGTCGCCCCAAACCCGACGACGCCAGTCCCGCCATCTTCTCCTCCCGAGTCGACGCCAATTGCTTCCTGTGCCTGTTTTTCTGCTACAAGCACACCTGCTCACCTGCTCCCTCACAGATCTCCTAGCCACTCCACCGGCTCGGCGCTGCTACTACTATCTCGAATCTTCCCTATCTGGCCACGATTATTCCCGCAACCACCATGTCCTACTACAACGACGCGTCGTGGAACGCACCGGCTCCTGGTCGACAGCCCTCGTGGGAGCAACCTCCCCCGCCCTCGCGATCAGGTACTACACCAATGCGCCCCGCCAGTCATAGTGCACCCATTCACCCAGATGTAGGCACTAGCTCCACCGTCAACAGCGAAGTCGCCAATGCCTACGCTTCTCAGTTCGAGGGTACGTTGCAAGTCCCATGTCTTGCGCCAGTGTCGTCTGTCAGTGCCATGTTTGGCGCCCAATGCAACAATCATGGCACTGACAAGGCCTTTGGTACACACTTGTAGTACGGTTACACTGACACCATCACAGAGGTCGACCGTGCCATTGAGAACCTCGCTAAAAGCGGCAAGCCCTTTGGTCCTGGCTTCCCTCCCACGCCCATGGGCGCTGCCCGCCGTGAGTCCATGCCCATGATGGGAGGCGGTCCTCGTCCATACCCAGACTATGGTACGCATTCCCACATACAAATGTACACACACACCACATCACGCACGCATACTAACACACCACACCACAGACCAGCAGCGCATGGGCGGTCCTCAGCGCCACCACTCAGTCAGCGAGTACGACGGTTCCCGCTCCCACTCGGCTTCCAATGTACAGGGCTTCTACCAGAACCAGCGCTATGCGCCCAGACCCAACGATGCGGACCAGATGGCACAGGCGAAGCGACGGATGGCGGCCCAGCGAGAGCGTGAGCTGCGCAACTATCACCAGGAGCAGCAATATCACAGAAGTAAGGACTCGGAATCTGGGCAACAATAGAAGCAGGACAGACAGTTGACTTAGGGTAATACAGACGTTTCGGGCTCAGGCTCCAAGTCGGACCGCTCCATGAGCCCCAATGCCATGAATGAAGACGAGCGCCGCGAACTCATCGCCCGCCAGCACCGTGCTTTGTATGGCGAGACCTCCACTCTGTACAACAACAACCCAACCTCGAGCCAGGACGTTCGCGTTCAGACTTCGAGTGCCGGACGCGGGCCGTCTCCCCTCGCTTTTGACCCTTTCGGTATGCAGGCCCAGAACGCTGCGGGCGAGGGCTCCGTTCAGATGCCGCCCCGGGACAAGGATGCGGCCAGTAGCGCCCAGGACGCCCGTGCCAACAGCACCTCGTCCCCCTCGACTACACAGGCCCCCGCATTCAATCTGTTCGACGCCCAGCAGGCCAACCGTACCTCCAACTCGTCGCCTGGCGGCTCACCACCCGTGCCAGGACAAAAGGCCAACGGTTCCGGCGTCGCCCCCATCGGCACCCGTCCCCAGAACCAGAACCTTCAGCAGCCTGCCGGTGCTGCCATGGGCAAGCGTACAAACTCGCCTCTGCCGTCGCCTCTGGGCTACAACTCGTACAATGCTAGCGAGCAAAACAACGCAGCTGCTACAACATCTGCTTCTATGAATCCCTCTTCGACTGTTACGGACAAGGGAGTTGGTATTTGGAACAATGGCCCCTGGAGCAACACGCCCACGCAGGGCGTGCAGGCATCGGTCTGGGGCTAGAAAATGGAGTTTTGTTTAGGGAGATACAATGCACATCCGGAGTTACTGCATTTCAGGTGTCTCAGGCATACCAAGTCGGTCTTTGAAGTACTAGCTTGGGCGGAGCAGGTCAATGGGAAGGTCGGCGAATATTTCGTGTGGGTTCGAGGTGCACCATGCGCATGCCTCTGCACTTGTTGGGGTCTTGCTGGAGATGATATACCTTTTCACGAGTGGGTACAGGTGTTTGTTGCCAGGGTTCACGGATTGGCATTGGTTCATGGGGGACTTGCGGGAGTTTTGTCAAAGGTTATCTTGCTGTTATCGGTTGCTAGCTTTTCGGATCGGGTCAAGAGCCTCTACACCAACGAGCGACAGCCACGACGCTGCCTCGATCATCTTGGGAGGCTATGAGGGCTGGTACATTTAACGGAACTGCGTAATGGGAAAAAAGTGGTTTGGGAAACGACTTGGTTTTTTTTTTCTGTGAGCTATAATACATTAGATTTGGCTCTGGAAGTTGCTATTTCCAAGATACAGCCACCGGTCCGGGCAAATGGCTGTAACGGGATATGAGGAAGCGAACACAACACGTGACCCTTGCTAGCGTAGTCGCAAGCGAGATCAGGGTTAGCGCGCCGCGGCAACCCCAGCTCCAGAATCGTGGCCTTTGGGTTCTGTTTGAGTGACTATCGCCTATAGCCTCCCACGACCTTTCCATCACCCACTTTCTGTCCATCTCGCACCGGTTGCCGTTCAAATCGCCCATCATGGTCAGTCACCCCCCTCGCGAGCGCACCCGAAGCCATTGGACAATGGAGAAGCAGCATGTTGCTTGCAATACAGGAGCATGCGACAGGCGTAGACGACAAGGTGTTGCAAGTGAGGGTTGAAAGGGCAATTGTGCTATTTTACCTTTCAGCAACCTACGCCTGCTTCTTCGCTCTCCTGGAAATGCAAGCATTGCCTTCTACAAGACGTTCACATGCCGACCAACCAGCCAAACCTCAGCATACCCCAACATGTTCACTAACTGGAATAACAGTCTGCCCCCCGCGCCACCTCACCGAACGCGGCCTCTTCAGGCTCAACAACCGCACGCCCTGCGTCGCCAAAGCCCCCAGGTGGTCCTGCGACCGTCATGCGAAGGAAGGCAGCCGCCGACCGTGCTGAGAAGACCGCCAACCTGCGACCGAGCAGCACAAGGGCTGCTGGTGCCGGCGGCAGCTCAAGCACCATGCTGAGTAAGTACCCACTTGACTGGCCGCTGGACGCGAAGAAACGACATTGGACAATACTTCAATTTCAACTTCACGTCTACAGTGGGAGATGCTGGACCAAGAGGAAACGTCACTCTTCAACTCTGCTAACGTACTTGTTCAGGGCTGTACACCGATGAGTCCCCCGGGCTGAAGGTCGACCCTGTTGTCGTCATGACACTGTCCGTTGTCTTCATCTTCAGCGTTGTCGCTCTCCACGGTATGCAATCTCACATTCATATGCCTTTGTAGAGTCCACGTCTGATCATCAGCAGTTATCGCCAAGGTTATGCGCCGATTCTCCGCATAAGCAAGCGTATTGAATTACTACTTCTCTTACCCTTTACAAATTTTCCGTTCCAGGTGGCCGCTGCCCAGTGGTAACCTTTGCAAGATTCCCCTCGATGTGCGGTTAGCCGTGTCCGATTCTCCATGACTGTGTTTGGACAAGAGGCGGAGCTATAGGGCGCATGAAACAACTGGAAAAGCACTATTTCTCATGATATCACTGCGACTACTAGGGGCGAGCACGATGGTGGGGAGCACGGGTAATCAGGAAACTGCTCGTTTCGCTTGGTGTATAATAGGTTTTCGCATAGGAATGAGGAGTTTTGTTTGCTATTTGTGTTTCCCCCTTTTGAGTGACTTGTATGAGTAACGGCAGCAGGCGACTTGCATCTCAAAATATGCCACTGATCGGATTTTGTCTATTTACGAAGGAAATATGTACATCGTCCGTTATTGGAGGTCTACTTTTGGTTATCTTAGGCATCATGAGATCGTCGTCTGTGCGTGACCTTGCTGGACCAAGTCCGGCTTGGTTCCTACAATGCCGCACGCAAAATAATACAAAGGGTATTGTCGCAGTCGTCCAACCAAGGCCTACACTATCCGGCTTGCCCTATCAACTTCAATCTTGAACTCCTTCTTTTTGCCAATGACCAAGTGCGGTCGTCGGGCGCCATTTGCTCCAGAGCTCGTGTACGTTTCTTCTTGGGGGAAACTTGGACTCCGTTCCCCAACCCATACTTCCGCCTCGTGGCCGCGGTAAATATGGGTGGGGCGAAAGTGCTCATCGGCCGTCAACATGATGGGCGCATTGGGCAGGGGACTTTCTGATTGCCGGAGCTCTCCTCCAGACGACGAGCGGCGATGGTCAGGCACAGTTCGCTTGCTGCCACTGCGTGAGGGCATGTCGTTCATCAAGTACGACTCTGAGATGTTGTCTTGGTTTTTCCGCGGCATGGTACGGCGAGGCGGCAGAACAGAGCTTGCGCTCGAGCCTGTCGTTACGTGCTGGCTCGCCGAGCGATGCGAACTGCTGTGGTTATAGTGCTTGTAGCTCTCGACGTACTCGCTGTCGAAGGGCTTGAGGAACGGACCCAGGCCCGTGATGGTGCAACTCATGATGGCGTAGCCCATTTGCCACTGCGTGGCCACGAGGTAGTCGAACGTGTATGACCCGGCTATGCGGTCACGCAGAAGGTACAGCCGGACAGCTGCGATTGCGATGACGGGGAGACGCGCGCTGAATGCGAATACGACCAGGGCTTTTGCGCAGCGTCGCATGTGCAGGAAGTGGACTAATAGGACTGCCAGGGCGAAGATGAAGAATTCGGATACCATGTCGAGAATGCCGATTGAGAGCCATTTGGGC